GCATGCTTGTTTAGAATGAAATTATGCATCATTTTACACAGTTTTGAGAAGTTGTGGGCTTTCTTTTAGGATTTATAGGCCTTTGGGTACACTATGTAAAGAACATATTATAAAATGACCCGTTTATTGTTGTCCAAATGCAAATGTTCAACATTTTTTTGATAATTATTGACCTAGAAAGTCTAGTGAATAGTACTGCATTGATTTGATTGATTTTGAGTTAAAATAGAAATATTGTGTTTTTGAGGCCTTTTTAACTGTTATAGCGCCACCTATTGTCCGATCTCCATGAAACTTTGCATGCTTGTTACTAGTCATGTGTCACATGTTTTCACCAAGTTTCGTAAAGTTTTTAGTTTCCATTTAGGTTTTATAGGCTTTTGGGTGTATTTGGCCACGCCCCCTTTCTAAATTGTGCCGTTATAGCTAAAGCTGGGCTCATACTACAGAATTTTTGGCTGGATTTTGCTGTCGCGGACAGATTTCCACAGTCTGCGACAAAACCCCTGGATCGTGACCAAATCGGTGCTCGTTTCGGTCGCTGAAGCTCTTTAAGTATGAGCAGGTCAGCAACGTGATCCCAAACTGTCTCGAGCTATCACAGACGCTACGATATTTTCAAACCTGTTTGATATTATCGCCACGTGATCTCGTAATGTGAGCAACACAATGCCAGGGTGGAACTAGTCCAGCCAATCACAGCGCAGATGGTATAAACACTCTTTTCATGCATCTTTATGAACAGAAATGAAAAGCCAAAAATTCATAAAATCAACTAACTAGAAATAAATTTAACAAACGCATATATTTTGTGTATATAATACCACGTTTCATTGTGCTGTTTAATTACCTCCAACTCTTTCTGCAGTACTGACAGTCCACGTCTTCCAAGCCATTGTTTCTGCCATATTCTCTTTTGTCGTGGTTTCTTCTTTCTTTCGGATAAAATAACTGCACAGACCAATTGAAGGGCCAGTTGATCGTCCATGCTTGAAGAAATGGCCTATAATCGCTGTAATTTCTCGCGAGAATTTATGTGAGAAAACGTATTTTCGCTGATGGTCGGGAACACCTCTTCATTGAATGTTTTGTAGTGTGTGCACCTCGTTATGCGCGCAGCTATGACAGGACAATGACAGATGAGAACATGTTGCGTAGTGTGAGCAACACAGTGATGCGGCTAGTCTTTCAATCCTGTAGTGTGAGCCCGGCTTAACCAAAGGACAACATTCAACTTTTTTTTTTAAATTATTGATATAGAGAGTCCAGACAATTGTTCTGCAGTGGTTTGATTAAGATTGAGTGAAAAACCTAGGACTAGTTTGCAAAAGAAGGTTTTTTACATAATTGATAATATTTAATGAACAATTTGATTGACAGCATTAGTCCCAGAGGCAAAGTTGTTTATAATGAGGAGACCTATCACACGATATGAAGATCTAGTGTTTGTGTGAATATATGAACATGTTCTACAATTTGAGGTCATTTTCTATAGAAATATTGTTTTTTAGGCCTTTTTAACTGTTATAGTGCCACCTATGGTCCGATCTCCATGAAACTGTGCATGCTTGTTAAGACTAATCTGAGACATGTTTCCACCAAGTTTAGTAAAGTTTTGAGTTTGTGTTTAGGTTTAGGTTGTATAGACTTTTGTGTATATTTGGCCACGCCCCTTTTCTAAATGACCCCATTATAGGTAACCAAATGAGAAAATTTTAATTTTTTTGGATAATTATTGATCTAGAGAGTCCAGAGAATTGCGCTGCAGTGGTTTGATAGAGATTGAGCGAAAAACCTAGGACTAGTTCTTAAAAGTAGATTTTTAACATAATTGAGAATAACTAATGAACGATTTGATTGACAGCAATGGTTCTTGAGGCAAAGTTGCATGAAATGAGGAGATCTATCAAATTATATGCATATTTTGTGGCTGTGTGAAACACCATGTGATTACAGAGCCATAAAACTTGTTAGCGCCAACTAGTGGCCGATTTCTTTCAAAATTCTTACAAACCTTTAGGGCCATCAGTCGAACATGCCCACTGAGTTTCATTCCGATCGACATCCGTTAACCTTGTCTAATGGGTGCTTAAACTTCTTTGACCAATGTTTTTTGAGATATGCAAATGTCCTCATAGACACTTGTGCCAATTTGGATAAAGACACTGCATACCAATTTTCAAGTTGATCGGACCAACGGTTGCGTAGTTATAGCCGTTTTTGTTTTTTCCGTCTTATTGCACGTGGCCACACTCATTTTTTATTTGACCAAAGATTGAGCTCATACACATGTCTAGTAGTTATGAGCAGTTTCGCCTTTACGATCGCTGTAGCGCCCCCCCATAGGCCGATTGGGACGAGTCTTTGCCAGAATCTCCCCTCAGGGAGCTCTACCATCTGGCCAAGTTTCAGCTCTCTAGGCCTTACGGTTTGTTCTGCACGATCAGTTTTAGCGGAGAAAAATAATAATAATAAAAATCCTAACAATTACAATAGGGTTTCAGCACTACGTGCTTGAACCCCTAATAAT